TCTAATTGTGTTGAAACTATCTTGGTGTGTCTCATTGTGTTGAAACTATCTTGGTATGTCTCATTGTGTTGAAACTATCTTGGTATGTCTCATTGTGTTGAAACTATCTTGGTGTGTCTCATTGTGTTGAAACTATCTTGGTATGTCTCATTGTGTTGAAACTATCTTGGTGTATCTCATTGTGTTGAAACTATCTTGGTGTGTCTCATTGTGTTGAAACTATTTTGGTATGTCTCATTGTGTTGAAACTATCTTGGTGTGTCTCATTGTGTTGAAACTATCTTGGTATGTCTCATTGTGTTGAAACTATCTTGGTATGTCCCATTGTGTTGAAACTATCTTGGTATGTCTCATTGTGTTGAAACTATCTTGGTATGTCTCATTGTGTTAAAACTATCTTGGTATGTCTCATTGTGTTAAAACTATTTTGGTGTGCCTCATGTTGAAACTATCTTGGTATGTCTCATTGTGTTGAAACTATCTTGGTGTGTCTCATTGTGTTGAAACTATCTTTGTATGTCTCATTGTGTTGAAACTATCTTGGTATGTCTCATTGTGTTAAAACTATCTTGGTATGTCTCATTGTGTTAAAACTATTTTGGTATGTCTCATTGTGTTGAAACTATCTAGGTATGTCTCATTGTGTTGAAACTATCTTGGTGTATCTCATTGTGTTGAAACTATCTTGGTATGTCTCATTTTATGGAACTATCTAAATATGAGTTTTGTTTGTGGAGCTTTATCTGTAGTTGTTCACAGCACATTTAATCTTTTGCAGTGGCCCTAAAAGGTCTGTGATATCTGCAAATCCTTAATTAGTCATCCTTTATTTCATGCTTGTTTGGGTCAGTTGGTCTATTCCTCCCCCTCCCCTTCCCCCACAACAAATAGGACCCACACAGGAATACATATGTCACATTTTCTGGAACTGTGTCCTTCATGTATTCTACAATACAGTCCACTTATACAGTATCCTGACCTGGCCAATGTAAAATCACAAAATATAACCTTTTTCTTTTCCAGCAGTCAAACTTCCTCCCCCCAGTGTGGGTTCTGAGGCCCCATGGGGGATGTGGGGGTGGGAAACAGACTAACTGGCCCTTGACAAGCATGTTGTACAAGGCGACTAGTTTATGTTTTTCCCCTCCAAAAAGTGCAGATATCTCAGCCTAACTGTATATCACAACACAGTGTGCAAATTGGCTTTTATGGGGAGTGAAGAAGAAGAAGAAGACGTTAAACAGCCAGCAGTTAACATCTCACTCAGCCTAGCTGTAAACCACAACAGAATGTGCAACTGCGAGCGAAGAAGAAGCAGTAGATTCACATATTTATCAAAGCAATGTTTCCCCTTTGTAAATCTGAGCAAAGAAGACACAAACAACAGATTTCACAATTTATTTCCTGGCATATTTTGCTGTATCTCGTCAGGTGCACACTACAGTAACAATTACATAAATGAAGCAGAAAAGTTAATTCTTTGTAACTGAAGTACAAAATCAACAACGATGCTGGTAAAACAGGTAGTTATGTTTGATTGTTGTTGAATTTGTACTTCAGTTATAAAGGATTCACTTATCCGCTTCATTCATGTAATTGTTAAGTATGCACCTGATGGGATACAGCAAAATATGCTTAGCAATAAATTGTGCAATCTGCTGTTTGTGTTTTCGTTGCTGACATATTTATGTTTATGCATTTTTACAGATCTTCTGTGAGTCAATTGTACCTGATGTTGTATCTCTATGTACTTTTATTTGTATCAGATGAGATATGTTTGGTGATGGTGTTTGCATAATAGTGAATTCACTCATAAGTGCAATGAAATGGTGTTAGTTACAGCAAAGCTGTAAAAATACAACGAATAATAGGAACAAATGAGATGTGGAGAGAGTTTACAATAAAACAAAAAATCTCTATATCATCCAGTTTTTGTTGTTGTTTTTGTGCGTCTTTGTGTTTGGCCACATTGTGAGAACATATCTGGAATTTATTGTGACATCTGGAAAATTTGTGGAAGAGAAATACCAAGAGGATGTTAACGTTCTGGACAATTTCCTGTTGTGGCATAGAAAGGTCCTGTGCATAAGCTGGTAAATAACATGAAAGTTAACACGGTCTGGAACTTGATGATGGTTACCCACCCTCTTGGCACCGGACGTCTTTTGCCAGTGAAAAACATCAGACACTTAGAGGGTTTCATTGATAACTTCCTTATGTGGGTTCTGAGACCTTATTTTGGGGAAAACAAGATTAGGCCCACTGTCTCCCTAGCAAGCATGTTGTAGGAGTCAACTAATCAGGGCTTTCTTCAAAGTCTGAGTGCATCTGCCTGAGAGGCTAAGAACCAGCAGCCTGCATATCCATCCATCCATTTATGAAAATAAAAATCAACCACGTTCAACCTACTGCAAGCAGTATCGACTATAATTGTGATCTGGTTTCTTTGTGCCAGTTAAATTGGCTAACAATATTAATTGCACAAAACTAGTGGCTTGGACCTAGTGAGAACTGTTGGGGAGGGGGCTGATATGCACTATACACACCCGCACATATATATAGACATTTACAATTACACATATATATATATATATACACACACATAACATACACGCTTGCACGACCACACAGGAAGCCTGCATTACTGATAAGCCAGTGGGTCTTTCACCCCACCCTCAATCCCTAATAGAGCCCCAGAACCCACACAGAGAATGCACACTTGTCTCCCAGATGATTCAGAACTAACCAACCCAGCATTTACAGGAACTGATTTTTTTTACAAGTGAAAATATCAGCAGCTTTATGTGGTCTGAAGTTATTAAATCATTATGGTTTCAGTTTGTAAGTAATCTAGTTTACATATTAAGATACCTGGGTTTTTTCCTGCTCACTTTTCACAGTTTTATAATATTTTGCACTTATATTTTGGTTTTTTCCTGAGTATTTGATTATTTATTTATTGTATGATGGTGTTTCTTGTAGCAATCAATTGGTTTTAGAATATGTTGATTTTTTGTAAAAGAAGTCTGTATGCAGGATGAATTGTGTTTTTGTGTAACAGCAGATTATGGTTTAAGTTTAGATGTATTTAAAAAAAAAAAAAAAACCAATTAAATTGATGTTCATTGTTGTAACAATAGACTATTTAATATTGTAACAATAGATAAGAGAAAATTAGAAATGGTGAGATCTAATAAAAAGAAATGGGAGTAATAGCCGCACCAAATTTCATTTAAAAATAACGTGTGAAATGGTTCGATCATTTAACTAGGCTGCCAAGAGAGAGTATACCACAACAAGCAAAGATGTATAGACCAAGAGAAAGTAGAAAAGTAAGCCAACTATGTAATGATTAACAGAGTGAATGTGATGAACAGAGAGTGAATAAAAGAGTACCTGAGAGCCTCTCTGTATGAAGCATTCACAAGACCACTCTCCTGCAGTTTAAACTTCAAACTGAAGTCACAAGGTGCATGAAAATCCATAGGAGAGGAAGACGAAGACATTGTAACAACAGACTAAGGAGACAAAACATGTTGAATGTAAGAATAAGTGCATAGAAGTCTAATGTTGGTTCACCAAACGGTTAATGTCATCGCTAGACAAACATCTAAAAGAAATAAAAAAAGTATGAACACCGTGTCCAGAACAAATAAGATTCATCATTCATACAATAAATATATTTATTTTAAAATGTGCATTGTCTGTTACAATAATTTATGGACATAAATATTTGTGGAAGTTGGAAGAAAATGTGATCTGCTTGTCTTTTATTTTTTTATAACCTTGTGCTCCTGCCTGTTTCTTCTTCGTCTTCTTCTTCATGCTCATTGGCTGTCAACTCCAGCAGAAAGTTCTTGTTGCTCGTCCACTTCTGGACTCTAGTCCTGTACCAGAACCTGAGTTCTGTGTGCACATCTGTTTTATATATCTAGCTTATTTGAAAGCAGACTGTTGGTTACCTACCTCTTTGGCAGATGCACTCCGACTTCAAAGAAACACCACTAATTAGTCTACATTTATGACATATTTGTGGGGGAAAGAACAAGTGGACCCCCCCCCACACCCCCAATATGGGACCCCGGAACTAAGATGGGGGACTCATTCTAGTTTAATTTGCATTTTATGTGGCATGTTACTTTCACCACAATCTGCTGCAGGCAACCCCTGAGCTGTAATTCCCCTTACTGTCACCGTCATCATTACCCTCAAAAGCCTTGTCGACTGGCAGTGTGAACTCCTTTACACTTTTGAGTATGTATATTCTGTAGGAGGTCTTTACATATAGTGCCACACATCTCCAACTTGGAAGCGAGTGTGTCCTATTTCAGCATGTATTTGGGTAAGATTCACTTTCTCTAGCCAGAATCTAATTCGGTTCATTCTACTGGAGGGTAAGTATTTTGTTGCCTAGTTTTGCCAGAGCAAAGGTTTATTGCCTACTCTTCATGACCTGCCATCTCCGCAGATTGAACCTGCACATTGACAGTGATATCCAGAAAGTATTCTTCTTCTTCTTCTTTGTGCTCACCAGTTTAGATTCCAGCAGAAAGTTCTGGTTGTTTGTTCACATCTGGACTTTGATCTTGTACCAGAACTTGAGTTTTGCATGCACATCCGTTTTACAAATGTGGCTTATTTGTATGCAGACTGCTGGTTACTCACCTCCCAGGTAGATGCACTCCGACTTCAAATGAAATACCCTTAATTAGTTTACTTTTACAACATGCTTGTAAGTGGGGGGGGGGGGAGGGGGTAAGTTGGTGGCAGTGGGTCTATTCTTGTTGGACCCACATATGACACAAGGTAGTATTGAACTAAAATGGATGCAAACCTGCCACTTTTGGGGTTAATCAGATGTCATACCTCTACTGTATTTTTCTTTTCCTTTTTCTGCATTCGCCCTTTAAACGCCATTTGGCATGTCATGTTGTGGTTTACAGCTAGGCTGTGAAATAAAAACACTGGAGTCTCATGTCTTTCACTTCCAATTCTAGATCTCACATGTCTAAAGGGTTTAAGCCAAAATCCAGCAGCGTTTGCTTGTTCCTCACTTGAATCAAAGATGACCTGCTTTCCCATTTGTCTTTAGAGTCATCTAGCTTTCTCACCAGATTATCCAGTGCCTCCTGAGGAGAAAAAAATGTGTCATCACCATCAACAAATGCCTGCCCTAGAATATATCATCATCATGCCTTTCCCACTGGCCTGGGTGATCATGCTTCTCCACATATTGAATCTCTAGTAGCATGTATCAGTTTGTGGTCTGTGCTTACACCCTTCCATAGACATGAATAAAGGCTGCTATGGAAGGGTGTTCTATTTCATTTAGTCATTCATTGTCTTGTGCTATTAATGTCACACCTGACTCCCATTCTATTTCTTGATTCCATTCTAACATGTGCAAGTTGAGCCGATTCAAGAACCGACATCACAGCACTCAGGGCATTCCCACAAGTGCTCCATCACCATCTTCAGCAGTCAGCGCAGAGTTCCAGTACCAATGGTGCCAATAGTATTCTGATTATATGTCCATCTTGCCTTTCTTTTCTGAGCATCAAGTATCATCCAATCACTTCAATATCATGGATGGAATCCAGTCCAGCACCTCTGACCTCTCATCAGCATTCACTTCAGAGTTTTTCTTGCATGTCCTCAATCCCTCAGTTTCCTGTTTCAGTTCCTGTTTGGTGATTGTGTGTTCATCTCTTCTTAGAATGTGTCTGACATAGCGGAATCTTCTCTGTCTTGGTTGGTTAATTGGCACCTTTCTGTCTTTCCAGATGATAGTGTTATATTGCGCTATGAGGAGGCATGAGACTCACAGCCCATGGCTATGGCGAGTGTTACTAGCAAGACCCGCCCGTGTCAAGAAAAGTCTTCCACAATGATAGCATGGGATTTCAGGACCATTGTTATCAACATTTGTGTTAAATCCGTTTTTATTTCAGACGCTCAGTTCTCATCTTTTCTGCGATCTTTTCTTCCTTCACTCTCATTCCCTTCTTGATATGCCCTTTCCACACAACACAGTCCCTGGCATTTTGTTCCCATCACTCCACCTCGATACCTGTATCATTGATGTCCCGCTTGCACACTTCTGTCTTATAACTTTAGATACGTGTTGTGGAAGATCATTTGTGTAGAACATTAAAAGCACACAAGACAGAAGGTTGTGGATATATGTGTCTACCAACGGCACAAGGTAGGAACTATAAGAGGAAGTACTACAACGATACAGTGAAAGAAGTGGCGATAGTACCCTAATGATACAGTGAAAAAAATAATAGTGGCAGAACCGTAATAACAAACATTGTGGTGTTATTTTTTGTTAGTAGTAAACAAGGCAAACACATTACCCATGCTTTGTGCTTTTGAGAGGAAGAACTTTCTTCCCATACCTCACTTGACACAGTATGACAGCACTGTCTGGAAAAATGGAAAGGTGCCCACAGACAACTATATTGATACAATGAAAGCAAGGAACCAACATTCTGCATACAAATAAACCATATTTGTAAAACTGATGTGCACATAAAACTAAAGTCCTGAAACACACAAGTCCAGAAGTGGACAAACCATAATTTTTTGCCGGAGTTAACCGCCAGTGAATGCAAAGAAGAATAAGATAAAGTGAAAGCAATGGTGAACTTTACCCTAATGACACTTTCATAGGCCTGCTCCATCATACTTATTTTCATTTTCAGGTCCGTGATTTCCGTATCTCGTTCTTCAATCATACTATTCCTATCCTCATAGCTTTTCTTCAGTTCAGCTTGTGTGGAGCCTGTGAAGATAGAAATGTGCAAAATAAAAATGCAGAAATAACTTCTTTTCTTACTTTTAAACTCTTTCATTTAGGTAAAGTATTACAACTAATGCTTTATGGGGAAACATCTCTGTGGAAAACAAAAACAATGAGTTGACATTAAAGGGCTCAATGTGTAGTGGACATGGCACTTAGGCAAGCACTCATGGTGTTTGCTCTCTGCCTTACTTTCAAGGAACCATACCCTACATTGGCAGCCACCATGATGTTGTGGCTAGACACTCGCCTGCAGATCTGAAGGTCACGGGTTCAGGTTCTCACTGAGTGGCTCCCAGGTTAACCCAGCTTTAATTGGGTACCAAGGTAAAGTCCTGGGAAGTAAAGGGGACTGGTTTGATGTTGACCACATCACCCATGGAGTGTCAATTGGTCTGGTCTAGCCCTATATGTCCAATACGCTTGAAGGCATGGAAAAGGGTCCTTTACTTACTGTTCTCTCTAACCTTTACTTACTGTTCTCTCTAACCTTTACTTACTGTTCTCTCTAACCTTTACTTACTGTTCTCTCTAACCTTTACTTACTGTTCTCTCTAACCTTTACTTACTGTTCTCTCTAACCTTTACTTACTGTTCTCTCTAACCTTTACTTACTGTTCTCTCTAACCTTTACTTACTGTTCTCTCTAACCTTTACTTACTGTTCTCTCTAACCTTTACTTACTGTTCTCTCTAACCTTTACTTACTGTTCTCTCTAACCTTTACTCACTGTTCTCTCTAACCTTTACTTACTGTTCATTCTAAACCATTGGAGAGATATTGTATATTTACTAAGAACAATAATAGAACCTTACATGAGCCTTACTTAGTTCTTTTTGTGTACGTCGCAACTCTAGTTCCAGCTGATGAATTCTCAGACCCATCTCCGTCTGCATGGTCTTGTACTGTCTGGTCATGTCTGAGAGAAAAAAAGTAAGTTTTTATAGAATTAACTTATTATATGTCAAGCTACATCTTCTCAATTGCTGATTCCAAGCAGGGATGAGAAAGGAAGAGGGGTAGATGCTAAGCCAGTTCCACTATCCTGTAAAAAAAACTTTGCTACAGAAAATCACAGGAAAGGAAGCCACTGCACATCGGAGAAGAAATGAGCAGAGAATATTCTGAGTAAATCCTGTCATAGCATGAGCCAAATGATGGCAACTGTAACAACTCATGAGACAGTCTATCACAGAGGTTGCCACTCTCAAAGTTTGCTACAGAAAGAAGACAACCATTGTCGGTCTCTTCAGTTACAACAAACATCTCCAACTATCAAAATATCTCCAACTGTAAACTTATGCAAAACTAACATATATCTTTAACCATAACAAACCTGTATGTGGCTTCATATTTAGTAGTGGTGTTTGGGGAGAAAAAAAGGGGGTGGGAGGGGGGGGGGGGGGGAGCTTACATGTTCAAGAACATGTTGGGGGTAGGCAAAAATAAGCTAGTTGCATATCCTTCACAGGACATTTTTTTGCTGTTGTCGATTTTGTAGGCAAATTTTATGTTCAGTAGTTTGCCATTGCAACGGTCAGCTATCAGAACCACTGTTGAAACCAACTGAAAACATGTTTATCAGCAGCTGGGATCGAACCTGGCACCCTGACATTACGACTGCAAATACAACAGTAGTAAAAAGTGTTAATACAGTGCAGACCTGATAAGGAGAACTCACTGAGCTTCCAGGAAATGGGTCATCTTATCAGAAATTCCTCTTATCGATATAAGAGTTCAAGCAAGAAAAATTGCAGGGGGTAAACAAACTGTTCTTCACAACAGATCAACTAAGCGAGATCAACTAAACGAGATCAACTAAGTGAGATCAACTCAGCGCTCTGCACTGTATATAAATAGTCAGTGTAAAGTAAATGACTGCACAAGGGCGTCATATATCCTAAATTGAATCCTAGACTCCAGAAAAACTGGAGTCAGTGTAAAGTAAATGACTGCACAAGGGCGTCATATATCCTAAATTGAGTCCTAGACTCCAGAAAAACTGTAGTCAGACAAATGCAAGCCATGTTTAAAGCCAGTTCTTCCGAGCTAAAACTGGCAGTTTTTCAGGTAAGTCACCAAACAACCAGACATACCCCAGGTAGAAAAGGGAAAAATTACCTGCATTGATAGCTTTCTGATCCTCTTTGTGTTCTTGTAGCTCTTTCTCTGTTTCCTCCACTCTTTTTGACATTTCTGAACTTGCAGATTTGGACCTTCTTGTGAGTTCTCTGCGCATGGCTGCAAAACATTTACACAATACATTTGAGACATCATCATCATATAGAAGGTCAAGGGAGAGAACTTCAACTCAACTGAACTAAGTCGTCCAACCCTCGTCCGGATCTGCAAGGAGAGCCGAAAGTTAAGTAACCACTTTTTAAGCCACTGAAGGTTAGTAGCAAAATCATAGAATGGTGATTAGATCAGTTGGTAAAGGCACATCTTCACTGCACATCAGTGCTTCGATAGATGTTGCAACTTTTCAGGAATGTTCTAAATTGTACACATTTCTGAGCAGTCCAGGTAGGTATCACAATTTTTAAATATTCTTTTCATTTAAAAATAAAAGTAAAGTAAAGATCCCTTTTCATGTCTTAGGTGCATCGGGTATAAGGGAATAGCACCCATATTTTTACAGACCAAACGGCACTAGGTGGTTAATGTGGTCAGCATTACGCCGGCCATCTGAACTTTCTCATGACATACATCCTGGTACCCTTTTTAGGATGGGTCTACCTTTTCCATTGTTTGTTTGTTTTTATATCCAGAAACCATGAGTTGTTAACCCTTTGGCTTGGTACTATGAATATCGCAACCCTTCGGCCTTGATGCCATGATAGGTACCGTAAATCTGGGAAAAAATGTATCTTTTCTGCCTACCCCCGGGAGTAAACCCGGACCACAAGGAGTTTGTCACCCGGTCACCTCGCAGTCAAGTTTAGCCAACTAGGCTAAAGAGCCGGGCTACCTTTTCCATTTAAAGGTGATTATAAAACTTCGTAAGTGTTTTAATCTACCCCCATAGATAACTTAGTATCCAGCTGAGTTGAGTTGATTTAAGAACTGACATCACAGCACTGGAGATATTCCCATAAGTGCTCCGCCCCCATCATCAGCAACCAGCACATAATTTTGATTCTGACGGTACAGTAACATACTGGCTATATGTCAATCTGATGTGTATTCTGAAAGCCGAGTGTTGGCCAGATTCCCTGACCACTTCCTGCTGTACAATTCTCTCCAGATGTACGGTGTGTATGAGATACATCCTCAGTTTGCCCACTGTTGCAGGTAGGCACAAGATGCTGCAGGCGAAGTCATATCTCAGGGTAGCTGCAGACATAGACCACCCTTTGCACAAAGCTCTGGGTGCAGTTAAGGGTCAGCGGCTGATAAGAGGGAAGTCATGGATGGCTCAGGCAGAAGATACAATCAGACAGGTTTGCATCCTTGAGAACTTTAGGCGAGGAGAGGAGTGGGTCAAAGTGCCACCTGAACAGTCAGACTTGTGTAGGGTCGTAATTACACTGAGCCGGGAATGCAGAAACTGGCCAGCAGGTGCCACAGAGTTGGAAATTCAGCAATTAATTCAAGATAATGCTCTCTCAGAAGATTTGATCATTTACACAGACGGTTCAGTGTCAAGAGGTAAAAGAAGTGCTTGGGGTTTCTTAGCAAAAGTTAATGGTCGACTTTTGGGGCAGGAGAGCCTAGCATATGATACCACAACATCCAGCTTAAAAATGGAGGTGGAGGCTGTCACTGTAGCTTTCCGCTGGCTAGAGAACACGACACACACACATATCGTGATTGTAACTGACCCAGAAAGCATGCTGAGGAAGATCAGGACAGGCATGCTTCGTGCAGAGTGGCATGCCTCGCTACGGAAGACACGGGTAAGGAGTATTGTCTGGATTTTTTCACCAGGTCATGCCGATGTGTTGGGAAATGAACAGGCAGACAGACTGGCTGGCTCTGCACAGCTTGGTGGAATACTGATGCATGATAAGGCAGACGTGATTAGTGCCTTGTGGGAGAGCGTGTACAATGCAAAGGAGCAGATTGATCACCGCAGTGTGGTGAGACTGATGCAGTTAGGAGTGACGAGAGGTTCTGGCAGATGCTCGAGACTCAGAGGAAAGGCAAGACGGACATTTAATCAGACAGCTACTGGCACCATTAGTATCGGAACTCTTCGCTGGCTGCTGAAGATGGGGAAGGAGCACTTATGGGAATGCCCCGAGTGCTGTGATGTCGGTTCTTGAATCAAATCAAATCTCCAGACCATGATATCCATTGTGCTTCCACACTGTTTACTTGCTTCCAAAAAGTCTGGACCACATCAGGCATGATCCAAATATGTGTATAGAGGAACAAAATACCATACAAATTCTCTCTCTCTCTCTCTCCCTCTCTCTCTCTCGTGTGTGTGTATGTGTGCGCGCGCGTGCGTGCATGGGTTGGTGTGTGTGTGTGTGTGTCTTCATTCTCTTCGATGGAATAAAAACAGAATAAGAAATTAAAATATAATGAAGCATTAATTACCATAATTTAAAATTTAAACACTTAAAGAATAAACACATTAATTATCAAAACACACACACACACACACGCACAGACAGACGGACGGACGGACAGACAGACAGACAGACAGAGACTATATGCCCAGCAAGATGTGTAAACAAGTTTTAGAACTGTCTTACCAAGATGATCTTTGAGGGCTGCAATTTCATCTTTGGTTCTTTTGTACTTGTCCTCCAGTTCAAGTTGAGTATCTTAGTTTAAAAAAAAAAAGTGCATTTTAAAATTATCAACCTAAAACTGAACACATTTAACCAGATCTGCATGCTCAAACTTCACATAGTTAATCTGATTACATCTGTATTATGCTAAATTTATCAAGCACATTAAAAATTTGAAATCTAAATATTTGAAAAATATTAGCCACAAAGATAAATTATAACACACATCAGAAAGAGACAGCCATAATTTTTGGCCATATGATAACAAAAGGGAAATGGAAACATGACAACTGGAGAGATTTATGGAGAGAGAGGATAAGGAAGATGAATGGTGGAGATAAATGACATTCTTTTGCCAAAGAATAAAAAGGTTCAAGCATAAAAACTTCGTTTTCTTCTTTGTAAACTCTGGCTGAAATTTCTGGTTGTTTGTCCACTTCTGGACTTTAGTCTTGGTCAGGAACTTCAGTTTTGTGTACACATCCTTTTTATAGCAGATCTATTTTATTTATTTCTAAGCAGAGTATTGGTTCCTCGCATCTCAGGCAGAGGCACTTCGACTTTGAAAGAAATGCCCTTAATTAGTTGACTTTTACGACATGGCTGTTAAGGTGTTGCGGTGCGTTTATTCTCTCTCCCCCACCAGCCAACCAAAACAGGGAGCACATAAACTGATACATCTTAATGAAGATCTCAAGCTGTGCAGAAGATGATCGATCGTTGCCCACACTAATTCGCAAAGCACTTGGTGGTAATAATGATTTGATATTTTCCTGCTACTACTACCATCACCACCACCGCTACCACAACAACAGCTGCTACTACTATACTACTAATAATGCTACTACCACCAATAGCACTACTACAACCATCACCACCACCACAATCACCACTTGCATTGCTACTGTTACAACTACAGCAACAATGTATACAAAGAAACAATTACGACCATAACAACAATAACAGCTGCCACTACTACCACCATTACCCCAACCAGCTTTATTGCTGTTGCTACACCTTTAGCATCAATTACGACTGACAGTATCACCACCACAACATCAACAACAATAATAGCTACTACCACTATAGCACTTTTCTTGTTGACTGCAGATTCAGAAACTTTTGAGTAGCCTGATGCCACAGATCTGATGGCCCCTTATGCAATTAATTGTGACTGCAAATTTTAATTTGCTGCTTCAGTCTAGGATTAACTGCCATTTTAGTGACAAACTCTATGTGTTGGCACTTCTGATGACTCACTTATGCATTTAGTATTTTTTTTGTTTTGGCTTTGCCAATACTGTAGCATGTTTATAATTTTTATCTGCATTGAAATGTGATGGACATTATGTGTCGTTTTCGCTGGCAAAGGAACAGAGCGATTATGGAGTGACCCATTTGCTGTGAAGTTGGAGCCATGGTTACCTGAATAACCGATTAACCACTACAATATAGGCAGAACTAATCAAATTGTTAGAAAAATTAAACATTGATGAAAAAGATCTACGAATAATAAAGAATATGTATTGGCAGCAAACAGCATCTATAAGAATAAACAACTGTTTAGGTACATTTCAAAGCATAAAGAGGGGCATACGACAAGGATGTGTACTGTCACCTGATTTGTTTTCAGTATACAGTGAATATATAATGAGATCTTAAATTGATATGCCTGGAATTGTGGTTGGTGGGCAGAATATAAACAATTTACGTTATGCTGATGACACAGTCTTGATAGCAACAAGTCAGAAATAACTACATGAAATGATAGACATTGTGGTGGTAGAAAGTGGAAGAATGGGCCTCAGTTTGAAAATGAAAAGACAAGAGTAATGGTGGTATAAAAAAAAATAATTATTCCTAGATGTGTAATAAAAATTAATGGTGTTATTTTAGAACAAGTACAGAAATTTAGGTATCTGGGCACATGGATAACATCAGATGGAAGATGCATTACTGAGATAAGAAACAGAATAGGACAGGCAAAAACTGCATTTTGTAAAATGAAGAACATCTTTTGCAATATAACTCTGTCATTGATGTTTAGAATAAGAATTCTTGCTTGCTACATACATCCAGTTTTGACATATGGCTGTGAGTCCTGAACAATCGGTAGGCAGCTCAAACAATTTCTTGAGGCTTACTACTGCTAAGACTATTACTTTACTACTACTACTACTACTACTACTACTACTACTACTACTACTACTACTACTACTACTACTACTACTACTACTACTACTACTACTACTACTACTACTACTACTACTACTACTACTACTAGTACTACTACTACTACTACTACTACTACTACTACTACTACTACTACTACTACTACTACTACTACTACTACTACCAATACTACTACTTTTACTACTACTACTACTAGTTAGTACCACCACCACTACTACTACTACAAGTTCTACTTACTACTTCTACTTACTACTACTACTGCTCCTGCTACTACTGCTATTGCCACTACTACTTAATTACTTTCTGACTTACCATCTTTCTTTTTTGCCTTTCTTTTTCCTTTACTCTTTCCTTTCTTCTTGGGCGGCATTCTTTCGTTAATAAAATTATAATTCACTGTTTAAACTGAATGGTCAGATACACTGTTGCCATGGAAGCCTCTGGTTGCTATGTTATCTTTCAGCCTCGCATACAAATTTATTTTATAGTTAAATTTAAATCTAATTTATAATAATAAAATATACTTACAGAAATACTGGCTATAATATGCCTGAAATATATTTTATATTTATTTATTGTCAAAGCATTGTTGTTATTATAATTAGTTAATCCCGGAACCACCTGGGACTTCCGGTAGTCAGACAGTTGTGTTGAAGACAGACGGAAGGTCCAGTTGAAATCGGTAAGTTTACGCCGGTTTTCCTATTTTAGCAAAGGTGTTTTATTAATTAAACGTATCAGAGCACGTTGCCACCTTTTTTAATTTGTTGTTTTCAACTTGCGTAAGCAGGGTTTTGCGTACGAGGCAGATTTAATTAACTATTTATGATAACTTTACATCTCCATAACCACAAATTCAATTAATTGTCAACCACATTTTCTAAGATTTTCTTGTGTACGAGAAATTGAAATTGGGATATCATCATATCTCTCTGCGGCCTGCCACACCCAGTAGCTTGCAATACTTTGTCTTTATCCTTGACAGACATTCTTTTTACTAACTCTCCTCAGAATAGTGAATAAAATGCACACTGCCAAAAGGGTTCATGTGATTTTAATTTTCACATTAGTCAAAAATGCTGATTCTGACTCTGACTGTGATGAGAAGACAGATGTCAAAATGACGCCGTGGTCTACTGAATCGGTTACCTCGGGGCAAGCGAAGTGCGTGGTAAAGTTTCATGATGAGCGCCAAGGGAAAAACCATTAAGGAGATGAATGGTGCCTTCGTTATTGTTACTGTAAGCCAGCAGTCTCACAATAGCGACTATAATTTTACAGCTATTGAACAAGGGCATTTGACATGGCTGAGTGCTGACAAATTCACTCATGCGTGTATGGCAACTCTTACTCTGAGATTATCTCATTAAATGCATCATAGATAACTTTGCTAACATTTAATTTGTGCTAGGCCATGTGGGTGTTCAAGGCAATGAGCTTGCAGATTATCTGGTGGATAAGGCAGTTGCTACAACTGGCCTGTCAGTGGAATGGACAGCACAGGAGTGAGGATGACAATAATACAGTGCGAAATGCATATCTGAACATGATCACAAGACTGAATGTTCTTGTTCAGGTTGGTGCACGAAGAGTGCAACCCGAGTCTTATCAAAGACAAGCTCAAACGGTTTTTATAGGTTAGGGATAGACTTATAAGAAAGCCATCACTCTTTAACTTTTATTTTAAACTACTTTTAAAAAAATACATGCAGAAGTGGCCCCACTGTAATTTTATCTAAGGTATTATCTAGATATTTATGCAGACAGCAATTCCTGTTGTGGTAACCAGATGGTAGGTGGGACTCACTGAAAGACAATGTTTTCACCTGAAAAATATCAAGATAAAAAACTAATTGCAGACCACAAGTGTACACACAAAAAACACCCCTCAACTCTTATTCCTATATTTTCTAATATAGAATCACTGATTTGTTTTTGGGGTTGAAATGTGACTATTAGATGCGTGAGGTCTGTCGCAGACCTTAGAAAATAAGATAGGTTACTCGGATATATCAAACTGGGTGTCGCTGGGTAAACTTACTATTACTTGCACTTTCTTATTAACAGTTTGCCTGACATTTTTTTTCTAGCAACAGTAGCTAAAAATGCAAAAACCTGGCAGTTGCAAATATATGTAGTTGTCGTAATTAATGTTATAATGTTTAAATTCTTGCAAGAGCAGAAATAAAATAAAACAAATGGGATTTATCTGTTTCTTACATTTCAGAATAATCCAGATTTGAACATTGTTATAAATCCATAAGCCATGCCGGACATAACATTACAGTGTGTTGGCCAGGTAAAATCACACAAGCTAGTGCATTTATGTCTTACTGCAAAATGTGTCTACTTATCTTAAGCATTCTATGTTCTTAGATAGATTACGAACCTTCATTTTTTAAAAACATATTTTCTCAAGTTTGTTTTTGGGTCCACATTTTTGGGGAATAAAAAATACTTCATTTTCAGATATTTCACGACTTGGGTACGCAGACCCTTCCGAACACTCAGCTTTCAGACCAAATTTGTATTTTGTAAATAAAATTATGTTGTTTATATAAAAATATACATTATGTGAATATCATGTACAAAACAAAAAGCGTGGATCGTAAAGGCATTCATTGAGATGTACATACAGACTCATAATGCATGCATACAAATTCTTACATACACACAGCATGTATGTAGAAATAGTCATTCACAATCTAAACATACACACAGCATGTATGTAGAAATAGTCATTCACAATCTAAACATACACACAGCATGTATGTAGAAATAGTCATACACATTCTAAACATACACACAGCATGTATGTAGAAATAGTCATACACAATCTAAACATACACACAGCATGTATGTAGAAATAGTCATGCACAATCTAAACATAGAAGAGTAGAGACTTAATGCCATCATGTCATACAAGGTTGTGCTGTAATCAGAGAGCAGAAAGGTCACATATTACAGCCTACCTGTAAGCTGCAATACAGTGTGCCTACCGCCCTTTAATAGGCTTTTACAAGAGAAAACCCAAAGAAGTAAATACATATTTCTTTCACATGATATTCTAGTATCTTTAGGTTTTTTTTGTTAGACTAGTAGACATTGAATCAATTTATGTCAACTTGATGTATGTATATATTGTGATTTTTAGGCGTTTTTAAAATTATTTTTTCACAATAATTTTTGTTTCCTCCAGGATGTTGCTGAGAGCAGCACAGATCAGAAGAAAGAGGAAAACAGCGAAGACCACAAAGAAAATGAACGCAGCCCAGATCAGAAGAAAGAGGAAAACAGCGAAGACCACAAAGAAAATGAGCGCAGCACGGATCAGAAGAAAAAGGAAAACAGCGAAGACCATAAAGAAAACAAAAGCAGCACATATCAGAAAAAGGCTGAAAGTGGCAATAAGCGTATAGTAGGAAACCACACTGATAAATGTGTAACTACACAAGATGGTGTTTTCTGCAAGATCTGTTTGGTGACACTGACATCCAAGGGTCAAGCAGACAAGCACTTTAATGGGCTCAGACATAAGACGGCTGTGGCATGCTTAATAGGTACAACTTTGTTTTGGGGGGGTTAAAGATTACTGTGAGTTTTGGGTCGACACAGGGTTAAAGATTACTGTGAGTTTTGGGTCGACACAAAGTTAAAGATTACTGAGAGTTTTGGGTCGACACAGGGTTAAAGATTACTGTGAGTTTTGAGTCGACAAGGGTAGAGGTATCAGTCGGTATGGCCTCTGAGTGAACTCAATCGATATTCACATGACAGGTAAAATACACATTTTCCTTCAAAGTCTGCATGTATCTGTCAGAGAGGCAGGCAACCAAGTGTACGCACAAGTGAGTCGCATCTGTAAAACAGATGTGCATGCGGTACTCAAACTTTCAGAACAAAACCAGAGTCCTAAACTTTAAATGGAGTTTCCTAATGGGAACTGCTAACAGGAAGTATCGAACACACTAGTTTTTTCTGGCCTTTTCCCCCTCAAAATTTAGAATAAATAATTTTTTTTTGACTTGCCGTATCGGAATGCTGTTGCTGCATGGTTTCACATTTGTCCTTGCTTTTGCATTTTAGCTTGACAGATGTCCTGCCTGATTGTACACTAGCTTGACAGATGTCCTGCCTGATTGCACACTAGCTTCACAGATGTCCTGCCTGATTGTACACTAGTTTGACTGATATCCTGCCTGATTGTACACTAGTTTGACTGATATCCTGCCTGATTGTACACTAGCTTGACAGATGTCCTGCCTGATTGTACACTAGCTTGACAGATATCCTGTCTGATTGTACACTAGCTTGACAGATGTCCTGTCTGATTGTACACTAGCTTGACAGATGTCCTGCCTGATTGTACACTAGCTTTACAGATATCCTGCCTGATTGTACACTAGCTTGACAGATGTCCTGCCTGATTGTACACTAGCTTGACAGATGTCCTGTCTGATTGTACACTAGCTTGACAGATGTCCTGTCTGATTGTACACTAGCTTGACAGATGTCCTGTCTGATTGTACACTAGCTTGACAGATGTCCTGTCTGATTGTACACTAGCTTGACCGATGTCCTGCCTGATTGCACACTAGCTTGACAGATGTCCTGTCTGATTGTACACTAGCTTGACAGATGTCCTGCCTGATTGCACACTAGCTTGACTGATGTCTTGCTTTTTAAAACACTACCTTGAATGATGTCTTGCTTTTTAAAACACTACCTTGAATGATGTCTTGCTTTTTAAAACACTACCTTGACTGATGTCTTGCTTTTTAAAACACTACCTTGACTGATGTCTTGCTTTTTAAAACACTACCTTGACTGATGTCTTGCTTTTTAAAACACTACCTTGACTTTTGTCTTGCTTTTTAAAACACTACCTTGACTGTTGTCTTGCTTTTTAAAACACTACCTTGACTTTTGTCTTGCTTTTATTAAAACACTACCTTGACTGTTGTCTTGCTTTTTAAAACACTACCTTGACTGATGTCCTGCTTGGTTGCACTGTCTTCACGTATATCCTGCTTGGTTGTAAATTAATATGACAAATGTTACAGAAGCGGATCAGGTGTTTTTAACATTCTTTTTTATTTGGGTACATTTTAGAGCACACAAGAGGGAGCAGCACAGAAGTTACACCACCACAGGTAAGAAAAAAATGATATTAAAACTTCTGTACCTGATGTAGATGTAGTGGGTGTGTGATGTCAAACCCACACAGCTTTAGGCCAGTCAGCGCTCAGTGGGTGTGTTTTTTTAAGTTAGTCCATCTGGCTTTACATCCTAGAATAAAACCCTTGTGCCTGTTTCAAGCTGGGTCAGCCTGGAAGCCGGGATCTGTGTTTACTTAATTGCCGAAAGGGATGCATATACTGACAACTGGACTGGCTAGATACAGCATTAAGAGACGTTTACATTACTTTTTATCTGTACTAAATGCTAGAGGTGCTAGAAACATTTGTGTCTGCATGTTATGTAAAGTAAATAATTTACAGTACACAGGGCAGTGCATTGCTTATTATGTGAGATTCATTTTAAGAACTCTGGCAGAATGGTGAAAAGTACCAAAACAGTGATATGTTGTGAGGTTCAAATTCAATTACACATTGTCTTATATTGCCAGATAAAAACCTTAAGGTTAGACATAATTTTGTCGGTCTCGTTTCCATGGTTACTAATTTTCTTTTATGATTTGTTGTGAGTGACCATGTCTGGCACTGGTAGCACAGAGTTGGAATAAATATGCTTTGAATAAGATGTCTCTTTGTGCTGATTGGGATTGTCTTATGCTATAAGAGGGGAGCTAGCTGTCCCAATACTTGGTTTGCTTTACTGCATCTAATGTTAATTTCTTTATCCAATTTTGCTATGTTTAGATCTGTCTTCTTTTTTCCTATTGACATTACTTCTGTCTTTTCAGTGTTGATTCTCATATTATTTGTTTTACATTCTTCATTCATGGATGTTAGATGTTGTTGCTGACGAGATACAGCGAAAAATGTCTGGCAATAAATTATGTAGTGTATTGTTCGTGTCAGCAGTATATAAACCATGAGATAAGTTTTTATGCCTGTTATTATGTAATATGTAAGTAATAAAGAAGATAATCATCTTTCCTCAGAAAAAGAAGTCAAAGGATATTAATTTTTTCTGCGAGATGTGTTTGATAAAACTAGCCTCCCCGTCGCAGATTGATATCCACTTAAAAGGAAAGAAACACCAGAGGGCTCTGGCAACGTTGAAAGGTAGTGTTGATTTTCAAACATTTAGAATGAATATTTCCTGGATTGATTATCTTACTTTAACTGTAACCCAGAAGTTGCTTGTGTTTATAAATATGTAACTAGTACATGTTTGGTCGTCTCTTGTGTTTTCTGTATCATTATGGAGATTATCAGAATTTGTAATCTCTAAACTGTAAGCTTAATTTTAACCTCTCAATATGAAGCCTATTATCATGAACTTTGACCTCTCGGTGTAATGTCTGCACCAGCTGTGCGGCCCTAAATCCTCAGACCCGTTGCAGTGCCTTAAAAAGTGCAAAGTAAAGACGGTAGTGACAGATTCTAATATTGTATCCACCACTTGTGCATTAACTTGTAGCCTTTTTATATGATGTCTGCCACCAAATATTAACTTGCAACCTGTGTATGATGTCCGCCACTTTGAATATACTCATTAAGGCCAAATGGTAACCACTAAAAAGGCATAAATCATTAAAAAAAAAGTTGTAAATTGGCAAAGCATTGCCCAGTGTAGGAATTTTCTAATAATGTAAATATAACATCAGCGTCCGGTCAAAATGGACTCTGAGGAGGCACAGTCACTGTTTTTAGGTGTGGTAAATGTTTGGCTTCTAACAGACAGTGGTCATGGCATTTACCTTTATTTGCAAACTGAAAAAATGTAGTTTTGTCGCCCTGCAGTTGAGTGCATGACGCAACAATGAGCTGCACATTTCCTTTGGAATATTGTTTTCAGCTGTGGCCAACGGGTATGAATTATAGATTAAAAAATGGCGCGTGGCCTGTTGCCACAGAATTAGCGTTACCTTATTAAAATTGATCGCATTGTGTGCATCTGCTGCTTCTGTCGATGAACTGTATTTCTCATGTAGGACTGTTTGAGTTAGCACTTCTGATAGATGCCTTTAATGCGTGGATATGCTGGTGGATATGCTGAGACTGCAGTCTGTGTCAGTTTTTCCACAAGGGACAGTGAAATGATGGACATTCTGTGTGTTCTTCTTTAGCACAGAAGCGGAGCGACTGTCTAATGACCCATTTGCTATGAAGTAAATTTTTTTTAAACAGGAAAGCGCCACTGTAAATCACTGTTTATATATACCTTTAAACAAGGTATAATTGGTTATACATGCAATCTACATTTTTTGAGCATGAGTTACCACTTGATCTTCTGAGATTTGCTCGGGTTGGGTTTCATTTTTTGACATGAGAAGTTGGTAACGTGGAACTAGCTGGTTCCATGACATGGATTATGTTTGAAGTTGAAGAACTTAGTGCTGTCTAAATCAGGAGATTGTCTATCTGTTACAATGTGTGTCTACTGTTATAATGTGTGTCTACTGTTACATTGTGTGTCTACTGTTATAATGTGTCTACTGTTACAATGTGTGTCTACTGTTACAATGTGTGTCTACTGTTACAATGTGTGTCTACTGTTATAATGTGTGTCTACTGTTATAATGTGTGTCTACTGTTACAATGTGTGTCTACTGTTACAATGTGTGTCTACTGTTATAATGTGTGTCTACTGTTATAATGTGTGTCTCCTGTTATAATGTGTGTCTACTGTTACAATGTGTGTCTACTGTTATAATGTGTGTCTACTGTTATAATGTAGCGGCGTTCGTGGCTAAGGCGTTGCGAGTCCGACTCGTAAGCCAGCATACCGCGATCAAAACCCACTGCAGGCTGCGTGGATTTTTGTCTTGGTATGGGACGTCGCAGGTCGACCCAGCCTAAAATGGGTACCAGGATGGGCTGTCCTGGAAAAGTAAAGACAGACGGCGTAATGCTGACCACATTACCCACAGAGTGCTGATGGTCTGTAAAAATATGGGACGCTCTGCCCATATGCCCGATGCGCCGAAAGGCGTGAAAAGAGAACTTTACTTTACTTACTGTTATAATGTGTGTCTACTGTTATAATGTGTGACTACTGTAATAATGTGTGACTACTGTAATAATGTGTGTCTACTGTTATAATGTGTGTCTACTGTTATAATGTGTGTCTACTGTTATAATGTGTGTCTACTGTTATAATGTGTGTCTATTTTTCAGAGCGTCCACGGTCTTTAGCTGAGCTGGCTGCAAGTCAGGAGTGTCTACAGAGTCTCCAGGTAAGCGCTCTATCAAAATTTTATTTACTTTTCATAAACTTTTTTTAAAATTTGGAAATGCTCATGTTCTGTCTTTTCCTGCTCTTGATGGTTAATCACTGTGTAAGCGGTTGGGTGTGGCGGCCAAGAGGAACATATACTGTAATAGGTCAGTTGTATCCTTGGCGGTTTTAATTTTCGGAATCTGGTTGCTCAGCTGGAAAAAAAAAGAGAAAAAAACAGCGGGGGACCAGCAGCTACTTAAGATGCACCATCTTGTTTGTGAGCCAGATGGAACTAAATATTTATCATGGCTGCTGTTGACTGCAGAAGATATTTCTGCTACAGCAATGAGCATGAGGAAAAACATGGGGTTAAAATCATCCAAAAGGTTAGAAGGGGCGGGACTCACAAATATCCTAAAACGCAAGCTAAAATAAAATGTGTGTTGGTAAAAGGGCGATTTGGCCAAGTTTGACTGTGCTGAGCCGGTACTGCCTGGGTTTTGTGCCTAGTGGTGGCTTTATCTATACCCTTAACTGGTCTTGCCATTGGCTGGGATTCCTGTGCTTTAGCTGAAAAATGCAACAACTCATAAAGAAATACACAACAGACTTGCCATGACCAATTCTTTATTGTAAGTTGACCTGCAGAAGAATGTGCAGATGTAACAAGGCTGATGTATCAAACATGTAATGCTCCCTGTGTTGGGGCCCTATTGTGGGAGAAAACAAGAGTAGACTAATTATGGGTTTCCTTCGAAGTCGGAGTGCATCTGCCTGAGAGAAAAGGAACCAACAATCTGCATACAATTAAGTCACATCTGTTGAACAGGTGGACAAGCAGCTATAGCTTTTCGCTAGAGTTCACAATAGTGAATGTGAAAAAAGAAACGTGATGCAGCTTGTAGATTCACTTTCTCTTAAAATTTCATCTGCGTTTTTTGGCTCTGGGATACCAGAAAGGTCATTGATATCAACATGTGGCACTTAGTTGCATTGTAATTTAAGTAAATATTCTCAAACCCATGCTTGCAGTACCTTATCTTAACATTGCCAAATGTGGGGCTATAATTTAATATATGCGCCCGACGTAACCAGTAGCGGGAAATGTGAACATTGCTTAGTCTACAGATCATACTCATTGCAGATCAGAACCATTCAGTCCATAAGTGCTCATGTTACCTGCTTAGTAAATCCTAAAGCGTGTAGTGACTGTTGGTTAACTCGTTTTTCTCTTCCTGCATAAAGCTTTCTTCTGGGCTCACCCTTTTAATTTGCTGTTCTTAGTCTGATCATTGTTCACTTCTCGGAAATTTAGAGCATTTAGTAAATCAGCCTGGTCCATGTATTGTCTGCCTTGCCCGCTTTAAAGATGATCAGGAAATCAAATTATTTCAAGGCAGATAAAGAAGGAAGTTTTCTGTTTCAGGATGATGACCATGTGGAAAATGTTTGTGTTGTGGAGCCGGCATCAAGGAGCCCTGATGACCCAGCTTGTGTAGAGTCCAGTCATGGCGAAGCATTAGCAGGTAAAGGACATTAGAATCAATTCATCATCAATTTCATTCATACCATTCATGTTGAGGGTTTCTCTTAGCCTTCAATTTATTGCCGGTGGGTGGGGGGAGCCTCTCCATTTGCATTCTGAATATTGTGGGCTCATCATTCAGTTCACATGTACTGTTTGTGTAGATATTCTTGCTCGAGCAGCAGCAAAAAGAAAAAAAAATCTTTTATGTTTTACTTTCGTTAATAATATATATAAAAAAAAAAAAGGCGGACATGTATTAAAAAAATATACACAAACATTGAGAGAGAAATAGAAAGAGCCAGAAACATACATATTACTCTCTGGTGAGCGGCATATTAGGTGAGACATTTTTATGTCATTGGCAAACATAACCAAGTTGATTGTTGCAGTGAAGTGTTCAACTTTCCCAAATAAGTGACAACTAGGCTGGTTGTGCTTTAGTTTTGTCAATTCAAACATTTCTTATCACATTCTCTAAGTTTTTATCATTTAGCGTTTCCACTCAGAATATATTTATCATTAGATATTTTGTTTTATGGGGGGAGGGGGGGGGGGAACCCACTTCCCTTATAACAGTTAGTTAGTTACATTACCCTTTACAGCTGTTGAACCAACGCAGGATGGTCTGCTTCTGAATCGCCTGCAGCTGGGATCGAGCCCGGCATTGCTTAAGCCTCAGATGCCGCCGACTCCTAAGAAGCATATGAAAAAAGATGTCTAATTAGGGATTGTTCTTTTGGAGTCAGGTTATATCTGCCTGGGTCTGCTTAAAAGGTCTGTGTGCGTGCACATCCTTGGTGTTCTGGACCGCAAACCACCAAAGTGCACAAATAGATGAGCAACAAGAACTTTCTGCTGGAGTTTACAGCTGATAGACTCTTGAGAGGAAGATATAGATAACAAGGTCTAGGATTTCCATTATTCATCTTCTGCTGTTCTCCGTATAAATGGCTTCTTGTCTGGATTATTTCAGAGAACACAGCATCTTCACAAACGGCCACCAGTAAACAGAACAGTTCTAGTGTCACATCACAGAGTACCAACAAGGTAAGCTTATGTTTCACTTCATAATTACTAAGTTCAGTTGTAATACATACTGCAGATATCCATAAACAAAAGTTGCTACATCTCCTTTGGAGAGGGGCATTGTTCGTGTTCAGAGGATGGCACATTTGACCTCACTAACATGTGCTCAAGTTTTTCTGTGTAGGAAATACTGACATGTGTCCCTGAAAATGCTCAGCCTGTGCTTCAAATCTGCATCGAGTCAGATTGAAAACAAAATGACCTATCCTCTCAGGTCGACGCAGCCTAGATTGAGTACAACTAAAATTTAGGGAATTAAAGGCGGCCGGTGTAGTCAAAGCCCTCGGATAGCACAAATAGGTCATTATGGTCTGGGGATAATGGTGCGCAGGGATTGACACTCAGCGTGGCCTATATATTGACAGAACTGCTACTGTTACAGTCAGCATTGGAGCTCGACTGTTGAAGGTGGGTATGGAGTGCTTATAGGAATGCATAAAGTGCTGTGATGGCAGTACTCAACTAAATTGATTATACTTACTATATGCTGGTCTCCTGGGGCATGTTATTACCCTTGTCATCTTTTCTCTGTTGTCAGTAATTACCCATACAACCTTTTATCTTTTGTCAGTAGTTACCCATACCACCTTCTCTCTCTTGTCAGTAGTTATCTATACTACCTTTTTTTCTGTTGTCAGTAGTTACCCATACCACCTTTTCTCTGTTGTCAGTAATTACCCATACCACCTATTATCTATTGTCAGTAATTATCCATTTACCCAAATTATTAAATTGTTGTGCTTCCTACAGGGTACTGATGACAGTGGTAAAGATCAGAAAGACGGCACAAATTCACAGATAAAATCTAACAAAAGTAAGAAACCAAAAGGTGAGGAAATAACCTGCAGTGTCTGTTCTGTGAAGCTGACCTCCAAGTCTCAGGCGGAGACACACTACGAGGGCATGAAGCATAAGAGAGCAATGGCGAGTGCTTCAGGTAATCATAGAGTCCTGTCTGCTGTTGATTCCACATCATTGTCATCTCATCTGTGCCCACGAGAAGGCTAGGCCTATCTGCCGTGTGTGTGAGTGGGCGGGCATGTGTGTACACATATGAATAAGGTGATGATATTCTTAGGCCGAAAAAAAATGACCACCGTCCCAATTAATGATATCGCCCTGATAAAAGCGGGAGTCATGGTCACCCCACGTATAGATGAATGAGTGGCAGATAGTCATTTTGCACATAATGTTTTATTTCTCAATCACCAAGACCAAGGATCAGATCCGTGTTCTGTCTCGTCTCATTCTGTAGCCAAGTCGTCTGGCTATTTATCCCTTTTCCCTGCACTTTTTCCATGTCTTGCCAGTCATAACCAAGTTCTTGAGTCCATTTCTTCTCATCAAATTTGTGAAAAGTATCTACTCTCTACGTCTTCTGTCTATATCTAATTTTCCTAATTAGTTTACAGTTTTCATCTGTTTTGACGAAGACCCACATGTTTTTGGTCATTCACCGATATTCTATACATTCTTATATATAAAAAAAATGTCCAGGTATGCGCTTCTTGGCTCCATTTTAGAGTAAAAGTATTGACCCCTAGCCCCCTATCAAGCGTGTCATAAAATGTTGATGAATTGATGTTGTTTCCTTTGAAGTTGGAGTGATGAAACAGCAGAATGCATACAAATCTGTAAAGATGAACCTGCATGCAGAACTCTAGACCTGAAAATTCAAAAGTGGACAGTCATAACTTCCCACCAGAGTTTACAGCTGGTGAATGCAGAAGGGGAAAACTGATTTCACATTCAAAGTCATGGCATCTTGAAAAAAAAGTGAATGTGCAACAGGAAGCTAGTTTGCCATGTGTAGATTTGTTTCATCTATATGTTTTTTTTCTTCTCCAATTTTTAGGACAGACAAGAACGCTGCATCCCTTTATAAGAAACCAGAACATGTGTTCAGGTTTTGCAGCGCATAATTTTCATCCGGTAAAATATTTTATCATTTTGAGTAGTATTTTTTAAATGTATGTGCATGCTAGGCTGTTTTAATTACTTCTTATGGTAGGCTGTTTTAATTACTTCTTATGGTAGGCTGTTTTAATTACTTCTTATGTCATGTATAGTAGGCTGTTTTAATTACATTTAATGTCATGTATAGTAGGCTGTTTTAATTACTTGTTATGCCATGTGTAGAAGGCTGTTTTCTTGGTATCAACAAATTAGCCGCCTCCCCCCCCCCCTCCCCCCATTATGCTAACAGAAAAGATAAGATTTGTTTTCACTCAAGCATACTTACAAGAATATGTTTGTTTTATCTCCAGTTTGCTTACAGAAATACTTACGAACAGAGAATGGGCTACTTAATGCCACCAAGTGCTCCAAAAATGAAACCTAAGAATGATAAAGGAAGTGATTACGTCTGCAGCATCTGTGTTGTGAGGATGACATCCTTATATCAAGCAGTCATGCATTATGAAGGCAGGCAGCATAGAAAAGCAGCAGCACTGGTGGCAGGTAATCATAAAATTGCCTTTTCTTTCTGTCTAATCCCATGTCTTCATATCTGCTACATATATATAAACAGAAGGATGACGTGATTAGTCTTAAACATCCAGGATTTGTTTCAATTTTATTTAAATTTTGCATTTTATATTTTATATAAGTAAAGATTTAAAAAGAAAAGCATGTATAGGCTATACTTTTTTATTTCCTGCAGCTGACTGTTCCTTTATATATTGAGTTGGAAAAGCTCCAAGGCTGAATGTTTGTTCACCAGCGTTCCCTGTGCGGGTTCTGGGGCCCTCTTGTGGGGAAAACCACGAACAGATCCACTGCCTTCCCAACAAGCATGTCATTAGAGTCTAGGCAAGAATCAGTAGTCTGCACACACATAAGCTAGATCTGCGATGTATGGATGTACACACAACACTCGGGTTCTGGAACAAGACTGAAATTCCTTTTCTGTAAAGTATCATCTGCATTTCATTGATTGTAAGCAGAGAGTTAGCTGTTTGGTATTCATTCATTCCTAAAGGGCTTAAACTACGTCTGCATTGTCCTAATTTACATTCACTGCATCAGGCCTGGCATTTTTTTTTCAAGCAATGTAGTTTTCTCTCTTTAATATTTGCAGTGTCAATGTTTGGTGCCCGTAGAAATGTTATAAAAATAATATTTTGCTTCTTTTTAATAGGTTTGCAGTGATAGCTAAGTTTAACCATAATAATAACTTTTGGATTCAACTTGTCTGTTTGTCTGCAGCAAATTCTCAGCAAAAACCTGGTGAAGCAAACCAGAAGACAGGCCTTTTCTGTGAAGTGTGTCACGTGACCCTGACTTCGCAGCCTGTGGCAGACAACCACTATGCCAGCTCCAGGCATCAAAGAAAGGTCCAGCTGTTCCAGTCGCGGTGTGAGTAGATTTCTTCTCCAGTCGAGGCTTGAGTATTTCCTTTGTTCCATTTGACTGCCAGGTTGAATTTAAAAAAACAAAAAAGAGCTGCAATATAATTTATAATGGAATTGAAGTATTTACTGTTGCACGCTACAGTGACGCATTGGAACATTCATTTTTGCTGGCAAATAAAATAAAAATTCCAGTGTTGCATGTGGTATATGAATATAGACCAGCTTAATATGGGTGGTTGGCCTGTTGTCTTGTGGTTTACAGCTAGGCTGCAACATCTGCACCTTTTGTCCAACACATTCAATTTCAGCAAACTTTATAAAAAAAGGCTTTATTAGGGGCTGGGTGCTGTCTTTTCTCCTCAAATCGGTCCCGGAGACCTTCTGGCAACCGAACAGCAGTATATGTTCTTTTCCTCCCCAAATGGGGCTACAGTTTTTGCTGGCACAAGAACAAAGCATTTATGGGAAGACCCATTTGTTGTAAAGTTGGAACTGATTTATCTATTCCATTTGGTGGAATCACACACCACTTGAGTAGGCTGTTCATGTTGTGGGAATCACACACCACTTGAGTAGGCTGTTCATGTTGTGTGTATCAGTCACTTGAACTATACATCTGACAGGAACCTTACACATGAAATGTCAACAAAAAAACCAATACTCAGAGATTCTGTCCCTAGACCACCCTGGAAAAGAGGCAGATGAAGACCGAGAGAGAAGATACTGGACGCAGATGAAGACAGAGAGAGAAGATACTGGACGCAGATGAAGACAGAGAGAGAAGATACTGGACGCAGATGAAGACAGAGAGAGAAGATACTGGACAGTCTGACCTCCTGGCATGTAGGATCGTCTTTGTCAGAGTTGCTTGACAGTATGCAAGACAGAAGGTTGTAGAGACATGACTACCAGCGTCACATGGCATAAACTAAGAAGATGATGACCACTCAGAAAAACCTTGTGTCACACAAAGTGAGCTGCTTGGACGATATATAATCAAGGCCTGGATAAAATAACCACTGTTCATGCATAGTGAACTATCCTGGCTGTTTTGTGTCTGACAGTATTACGTGAGCACAAAAGGATCAGCTACCTGTGATTGTGGAGCAGAAAGACTCCTGAGCACACACTGTAGGACTGCCCTAACTACTTCCAGCAAAGACTGGATCTGGCCCAAGGAAGCTACACTACAAGAGAAGCTGTGGGGGACTGGTGGCGACGTCAGACGCATGACCCTGTTTGTGACCCATAAGGGACTGAATGTTTACCATGGCTGATGTATAACCCAGAAGAAGAAGAACCATTCTAGATGTCTTATATCGAATGATATAATCTGGGCTGTAACATAATTGGTTGCTTTTATGTACCCAACCCCTAGATGGCGGCCTAGAGCCTCAAACTCAAGGCCAGGACACTGAGGGTGTATGTGGAATTTGTAATGTCGCATTGCCTTCCAAAGTGGTTGCGGATGCTCATTACGCTGGAACCAAACATAACAAGAAGTTGCAGATAATGCAGTCACTACGTACGTTGTACTGTTGTATAACCATATTTTAGCAGCCAGTGTTATTTGTGCAGTTGTTAGTTTTGGGATTGGTTTGGATCAGTTGGGAACTGCTGTAGTAGAGCAGCTGGATTTTTTTCTGACCCGATAATAGAGCTGTTACCAAGTTGCTTTACTTTTGCCATAACAGCTAGTCCTTTTAGTGTAGAGGCCATGACAATAGGTAACTAAGAGCCTTGCTGGAGAAACAGAGATCTTTATGTCACTCAGGTATATATGTCAGTCAGTCAACCAGTGGTTAGAGTCTCTGAAGAGGTTAGAGCTGATAAAAAGCATTTTTATTATTCTACCAGACAATGTGAGTGTTAGTGGGATATAACTAGCTGCTAACTTGTTGACAATGCTTTTGTGGAAAGTGAACAACCTAGGGATCAGGTGGATATAGTGAATGTCATCAGAGTGATTAGATAAGTCCAGGTCATGACCGACAAAGCAACGTTGGCATACAGGAAAAAAAAAAGACAAGAGCTGTATGCAAGGGGCATCAGATAAACCAAATGACTGATGTCATCATTCACTACAGCCAAGCTATACACTGAGCTGTGAAACAAAGGAAGTGAACGGATTTGTTTCTTATATTAGAGAACCTTCGCTGCCAAATGGTCAAGCTTCTTTGCTCACAATCATGGCTTTGTTTTACAGATGTATCTTCCAGTTTATTTGTGAAACATTTAAGGGAGATCACAAGGGATCATTACTGGAGCTTGTGTTATTAATGCAATTTCTGACACCCCTGTGTGGGTTCCGGGGCCCCATTGTGGGGAAAACAAGAATAGACCCACTGCCTCCCCAAAAGCATGTTGTAAGAGTCAACTAATTGGGGAGCTTCCTTTGAAGACGGAGTGCGTCTGCCGGAGAGGCAAGGAACCAACAGTCTGTATTCAAGAGAATTAGATCTGTAAAACTGATGCACACGCAACACTCAGGTTCTGGAGCAGGACTGCAGTTCAGTAGTAGACGAGCAACCAGAACCTTCTGCCAGAGTTTACAGCTGGTGAACGCGAAGAAGAAGAAGAATTTCTGACACTCTTAGAAAGCAGCCAGCTGTTCTCTGCAGAAAGACTGAGCCCTCTAGGTTAAAACTTCATCTAGTTCCAACCTCATGGTAGATGGCTTACCCCACATTGACTTATTTCTGTGTTAGTGAGAAGAAACCTCACAAAATCGCCTTACTAGTGGGAAAACAGTGGGAACAAGACTGCAGTCAAAGCCATTAGCCCACACACTGTGTTAAAAGTGTCAACACAAATGGTCTGCCAATGCAGTTAATTATTGATGGAAGCAGCTGTTAAAACAAATGAGCAGCCACACGTATGTTCTTCAATCCAAAGACTTCATCATTTTAAAGTGTATTTATTGTTTTCAAGTACAGTTTGCAGTAATTATTTATAGCACACAGTATATGAGAGACATTTCTGCATTAAAGGTCAGCAGTTGTAGTGTTCATTTACTAGGCTCTGTATGTCTCATTGATTCTCGAAATATGCAGCTTTAAAAAAACCTGTATATTATGGATTTTTTCAGATGGAAATGGAAAAGTCGGTGATGCTCCCAGTAATGTTGGCGCTAAGGCCACGACTCCCTTGGTTGTTACCAACAGTAGTTCAACTCAGGTTTGTTTTCTTTGCATCTATGTGCATAATTCATTACATAGATTTGCAGCTGTGTACACATAATTACAGTCTTAGGTAATATATCTGAAGATAATGCTAATGAGGCTATTTTGAAATATAGTGCAACTTATGGTATGGGGTTAGCTTTTTGTGAATTTAGTACAGGTGGTACTGAAAAAGGATTTCAAAAATGGCCATCAAAGATGGAAAGAGAAGGCCAACCAGAGAGATGAGTGGAGGTGGGTGATATCTGCAGCAATGAACCTCAAGGGCTAGGAATGCTGAAGAAATCCGGCTTCCACGTTTATCTGGACTGTGAATGAAGTTCATCATTTTCAAAGACATGCACTTTTAATAGAAAAATATAAGCCAGTCTCCTTCGTGTTCAAGGCTTTGATTTGATTGGTATGGACTAGTATGGAACATTGATCTTTCAGGGAGCAGTATGAAACCTACAGTTTGCCTTCCTTATAAAACCACAAACAGTAATTAAAGGCTGCAGTTGGTTGGCAAAGTCCTGTACAGAATATGCAGCTAGCTTATCTAAATACACAAATAATTTAAATGAAGACATATGTCAGCGTCAGTAGTATCAGCACCTTGAAAGAATCTGACAAATTTGATTTGACAGTTGTGCAGTGTTTGTATGAATAATTTAGAGGCGTAGCTAGTCACTTGCCTGTCAGCCCCTTAAAGTCTAATAATCTACTTTGAGTCAAACTTGAAAAAAAAGGGAAGTAAAGGTGGCCATATCCTCACCCACTGAGTGCCAGTTTATAAAGACAGGGTCCTTTTCCATTAACTTAAAGGAATATTTGATTTGCTACCAGATTACAGAGGGCTCGTCGATTGCCGTCATGTCATCTACTGGAGAGTTGTTGGACGAGCAGCGCAAGGCACTGGCAGGAAGTTTATTATCCTGTGACATCTGCAAAGTCCAAGTGAATTCTCAGCAGCAGATTGAAGAACATTATCAAGGTCAGGATCACAGTAGCTTGCCATGTATGTATTGTTTTACTCGTGTCTCATCTACTTGATTAAATTGTTTTAACTCAGACTCTTGTCTCATCTAATTGGTTAAATTGTTTTACCTCAGACTCTTGTCTCATCTACTTGATTAAATTCTTTTACCTCAGACTCTTGTCTCATCTACTTGATTAAATTGGTTTATCTCAGACTCTTGTCTCATCTACTTGATTAAATTGTTTTACCTCAGACTCTTGTCTCATCTACTTGGTTAAATTGTTTTACCTCAGACTCTTGTCTCATCTACTTGATTAAATTGGTTTATCTCAGACTCTTGTCTCATCTACTTGATTAAATTGTTTTACCTCAGACTCTTGTCTCATCTACATGGTTAAATTGTTTTACCTCAGACTCTTGTCTCATCTACATGTTAAATTGTTTTACCTCAGACTCTTGTCTCATCTACTTGATTAAATTGGTTTATCTCAGACTCTTGTCTCATCTACTTGATTAAATTGGTTTATCTCAGACTCTTGTCTCATCTACTTGATTAAATTGTTTTACCTCAGACTCTTGCCTCATCTACTTATTAAATTCTTTTACCTCAGACTCTTGTCTCATCTACTTGGTTAAATTTGTTTTACCTAAGACTCTTGTCTCATCTACTTGATTAAATTGGTTTACCTAAGACTCTTGCCTCATCTACTTATTAAATTCTTTTACCTCAGACTCTTGCCTCATCTACTTATTAAATTCTTTTACCTCAGACTCTTGCCTCATCTACTTATTAAATTCTTTTACCTCAGACTCTTGCCTCATCTACTTATTAAATTCTTTTACCTCAGACTCTTGCCTCATCTACTTATTAAATTCTTTTACCTCAGACTCTTGCCTCATCTACTTATTAAATTCTTTTACCTCAGACTCTTGTCTCATCTACTTATTAAATTCTTTTACCTCAGACTCTTGTCTCATCTACTTATTAAATTTTTTTACCTCAGACTCTTGTCTCATCTACTTATTAAATTCTTTTACCTCAGACTCTTGTCTCATCTACTTATTAAATTCTTTTACCTCAGACTCTTGCCTCATCTACTTATTAAATTCTTTTACCTCAGACTCTTGTCTCATCTACTTATTAAATTCTTTTACCTCAGACTCTTGTCTCATCTACTTATTAAATTCTTTTACCTCAGACTCTTGTCTCATCTACTTATTAAATTCTTTTACCTCAGACTCTTGTCTCATCTACTTATTAAATTCTTTTACCTCAGACTCTTGCCTCATCTACTTATTAAATTCTTTTACCTCAGACTCTTGCCTCATCTACTTATTAAATTCTTTTACCTCAGACTCTTGCCTAATTTATTGTGTGCTTGGAGATGTTTCCACTTCTAGATATTCTAGTCAGTACACTGAAGAGATAGGAATAATGCATGTTGTCAAATTGTACATGAAGGCAGTAATGGCAACTTTTCAATGGTTTTAGAGCAACACAGCTCAGCATGTTGAGAAAATTGAAGCTGGCATCCTACCTGTAGAGTGGCCTTATCACTTGATACTCAGCTTACAAGCATATCATGGAGTTTGAGTCTTAGATATTCAGGTCACGAGCAGACTGATAGCTTGGCTGATGCTGTGCTTCTCTGGTTGATGATATACTTTTGGTTGATGATATACTTTATGATAAAGCAGACATCATTAAAAGCCTTTATTCAATGGCGGACGAGTGGAGAGTCTAGAAGATACTGGAAACTGAGGGGGAAACCGGCAGACTTTTAAAAATCACATTGCAACTGGTACTATAAGCATGCAGAATCATCATTGGCTACTTAGTTTAGGAATGTTGTTACTTCAGTTCTTGTTCCATTCAACCATCACGTCTTTACTGAGAACACCTGTGTCTTGAATTAACCACTTCTTATATATTCATAACCTTGCAGGAGTAAAGCACATGCACCACGTCCTTGGGCCTGCACCCAGAGAGGTGATAATTGACCTACTTGCAGCCCGCCGCGGATTCTTCAATCGTGGCATCTTTCCAGGACATTGTGGACCTTGGGATAGGCCACCCACCTGGTTCAGGAACAGGCACCCAGTGCAATTTAGGCCTTGGGTGTTGTAGTGTCAGGCACCAGACAAACAGATCTATAGTACTCATTTTGTTCACTGTTGGACTGGTACCTGAATTTCCATGTTTTATTTATGATTAAATTGTCTTTTGATTTGTTCTTTCAATAATGTTTGTGAATACAGTATGGTCTTTGATTTGTTCTTTCAATAATGTCTGTGAATACAGTGTGGGCTTTGATTTGTTCTTTCAATAATGTTTGTGAATAAAGTATGGGCTTTGATTTGTTCTTTCAATAATGTCTGTGAATACAGTGTGGGCTTTGATTTGTTCTTTCAATAATGTTTGTGAATACAGTGTGGTCTTTGATTTGTTATTTCAATAATGTCTGTGAATACAGTGTGGGCTTTGATTTATTATTTAATGCAGTACTCTGGTTTCTCCATGTAGCGGCCTCTGTAAAAAACCACGCTTAGATATTAGCCAGAGTTCGTATACATTCATCGATGGAAGAGATTTGATTACTTTAAGTAAGAAGCGAGAGTGGTTACTGCTCTCTGGGTGTATACTTGAGTGCTCAGTCATTTTTTGTTTAATATGATGATAGTTTCTGATGAGTGTTGGACTGATTGACAACCTATTCTTCCCCCACTTTGTCTACACACAGGTTGTTCAGATGCCAACCAATCGATCCTCTTAATTTCTCATAACCAGTTATGGACGTTCAGAAGTATAAAGTAACGAACAAGATTGCTTTCCTAATCAGCTGAATTTCCTATGGCTACAGTGGTTGCTTCTGTCTCCATTCTGCTGGAGATGATTGTCTTTGAAATTATTCAGTAAAAAAACTACTTGCCTTGACGGTAGCAGTAGAACCGCAGTAGAACCTGTTTTTTTTAATCCTCAAAATACTATAAATCACCATTGTTTAAGTGTAGTGCTATCTGTGTCTGCCATATTGATCACTTTTTTCTTCTGTGGATGATTTTGATTGTTGGCTTGCGGACATTATCCAGCAGTCTTCTTTAGTTAATTATACTGGGGAGGACCTCTTCCAT